CCTCTTGCTTTAACTGAAGTACATTCACCAGTCTTCTATCATCTATCTATCATCTATCTATCTATCTATCTATCTATCTACCTATCTATCTATCGATCGATCTATCTGTCTGTCTTTCTGTCTGTCTATCTACCTACCTATCATTATCTATCTATCATCTATCTATCTATCTATCTATCTATCTATCTATCTATCTAATCATCTATCTACCTACCTATCATCATCTTTCTTTCTATCTTTCTACCAATCATCTATCATCCATCACCATCTGTCTTACTCTGTCATTTATCTATCATTTATCATCTATCCATCATATATAATCCATCCATCAATCATCTATTGATAATCTTTTTATTCTTTTACTTTGCCTTGTTATATACTTAATAAATTTATTCAAAACTGAAAGTATGACTATCATAGACTCCAAACCATATGGAACAAGATGGGTGAATTAAATGATAAATGATAAAGATAAATGATAAAGAGCGAAAAAGAGCTATAGAGTGTGTGAGACGAGCATGCACATGAAGATGGAATTTAAGCCCTGGGTCCTGAGAGAAGCTCAAACAGCAGAACCAGAGTAGCACCAAGGTGCAGGAGCTACTGATAACCTGTGTTCTCCAGTGCAAGCAGGAATGCATTGTGTATACCAAGGAGCAGAAACGCGAGATGGAAGAAGATTTCAAAATCTGCACCTACCTGACCTATGGGACCCGCATGGCATTGACAGAAAGGATTAACGTGAACGAGTGCCTGGTTCAGGTCTGGTTCAAGATTCGCCCTGCTTACGTCCCCAAGAATCCCAGGAACAACCTGACATGTGCAGTGAAGAGCCAGAAGTGCCTTTGGCAGCCACAACTCCAGCCTCAAATATAACTGCTTCACCGGAAAAGAATGCTCCAGATGCAGCTGATGCTGCCCCAGGTCTAGCTGAATTTAAACCCACAGAGTAGCCCTAAGCTTACTAGATGCTCCAGGCTTCTCCACCTCCAGTGTCTCCTTTCGCCAGACAGAGTGCTAACCTGACATCACAGCAAGTCTTCTCATCCCTAGACTCGTAGGAATCCTTTGGTGTTTGCCGGGTACTTGTGTAGCAAGAGAGAGGTGGCATTGCAAAACAGGACTGATTTTCCCAGGACATTTCTGAATCAGTGGGGGTCATTATCTGCTGTGTCCTGCAGATCTCTGGGCCAGATTCAGATGGAGACCCGTGCTTCCCGAATGGGCAAGCTCCTAATCTGCTGGAAATGGCTCTGCTGAGGGTCCTCACTAGCTATTTGGGGCTGTGAGAGTTTGTCTGTGGATTTCTAGGACTAGGAATGGAGGTGCTGCTGTCCATAGGCTCCACTGCATCCTGCCCTCCACTGAATCCTGTCTTGTGTTTTTT